GAAAGGGCACAAAAGCAGAATGAAGATGATAGTCGACAAGAAGAGGACTGATTTCCATTTCAATGTGGGTGATCAGGTTCTATTGAAATTACAACCCTATACTCTCGGTCATCGGTGGCTAATAGGCCATATCCTAAGTTGGCCTACAAATACTATGGACCATACAAAGTTTCGGGACAGAGTGGCATCATGTTGCCTACCATTTGGAGCTTCTCGCCAATTCAATGATCCATCCTGTCTTTCATATATCACACTCAAGCCTTTTGTGCCCAACTACACACCACAGTGTTTGCATCTCTACCGTTACATAACCGATCCGAAGCGGTACACAGAGAACCACTATCAATCCTGAGCGTCGCCTAGTGCAAAAGGGTAATACTGACAATCCCTCGAGATCAAGGTGACTGGACCAAGCTGCCTCCATCGATCACCACATGGGAGGACTACTACGTGCTCAAACAACGCTTTCCTGATGCACCAGCTTGGGGACAAGCTGATTCTCAAGCGGGGGGAGATGTCGCGCCTGGAGACGCTATCTAAAGAGGTGCTGGACAATGAACAGGGAGAAGAGGCGTTGGAAGAAGAAGGCGTCTTCATATCTACGTTTACGTATTTATAATAGTTGTTTTACATGTGTGTCGCTGTTTTGTGGACCCGAGTGGTCAGACTTGTAAGAGGAATAAAACACCCCGATCCCTTCTGTAAGAACTATCGAACTCGTATTCAGTAAAACTGAAACTCGCCAAGGCAGAGGGCTTGCCCTGCCGGCGACCTCGTTCCGTATATCCGCTGCGTTCGTGCTCACGTCGGCAGCGATCCCTCGTCAGCGGCCAAGGGTGTGACAGAGAGCTACGTTCAGCAGCCTCGGTGCCTGTTCTAGAACTCAGAACCAAAGCACCATTACTTGAAGCTTCCCTTGCTGCTTGCTTCAGTTATCAGCAAACAGTTGATGAGTACATTTAGTAAAGCAACTTGAACGTACAATCAAACCAATTATCAACAAAAGCTATGAAAGTGTATCGGTGGTTTTATGGAGGACATAATCATAACAATAACTTTGCCATGAAACATGAGGAACTAAACTTTTTTATTGCGTTAATAACCGTGTCCTGATTGACAGCAAACAGTAACTGACAATATTTCGCAGTCAAGAAGATGCCAATATTCTTCGTTTCACATGCTATTTGAACATGTCACTAAAAATCTAGTGCATCACTCCATAACATTTCAGTTCTCAAGTGTGATAACAGAGGAGCAGCAGAATAATCAAAATTATCAAACTGATTTCTCACAAGCATATTATTGAATACATTATGTGCATGAAGTAAATCAGCCCCTAAACTTAAATATGTCAAACCACAAGTTGTCCAAACTTCTTATATATACTTGCATCAATTAGTTCACTAGCTAGGCCACCAATCCCCATCATCACCAAGCCAATATATCAAATAACACACATATCCCTTTTATGCCAACATATCCATACAAGCAACCACTTGATATGTATATATAAAGCAATAGCAAGCAAGATGGTGATTTAATCAATAGATATGACAAGCGAAATATTGAATCGAGAGAAGACACCAAGATTTATGTGGAAATCCCTTGCAGGAAAAAAAAACACGGGAACGACGAGACAAATGCACTATGAGATTAAATAAGTACAAGAGCTGGGGGCCAACAAATGAGGGGAGGCTCCAAATCCTCACAAATGTCTCTTTTTTATATTATTGGTAAATTTGGTGGATCAAACTCCCTCTCTCTCTCTCTCTCTCTCTCTCTCTCTCTCTCAATCTCCTTAACCCTAGCTCTCTCTATTTCTCTGTTTCTCCCAAGAAGCAAATGAGCTTTCTTTTTAGAGAAGGGGAGCATGGCAGCTCCTTTGGGCTGGGTTGTGCTATTTGGTGAAGGCCCCGTTCACTTCGCTGAAAAAACAAGCAAAAACATTGTTCCGACTGATTTGTTGTGAGAGAAAAATACTGTTCCGGCTGAAAAAATAAACTAAAAAGTACGGATTACAAGACAAATGAACAGGGCCAAAGAGTCTTCATGTTTGTGAGCACAGATAAACCCAAAGGGCAATAATTGGAGCTGGTCATCACATCAAACATCCTCTAGCCCTCATATTCAGGACCCATATAACCACTAACACAGCAACAACAAAAAGTATCGAACCTTTTTTTTTGCGATTAAAAAACTATCGAACCTTAATTGGAGGTATTAACTACGTGGGCAAAATACACAAAATTTGGTACTCAGAGAAAATAATTTTGCAGTTACTAGTTCGAAGAAGGTTGTGCTATTTGATTGCAATGGAAAGTTGAGGGAAAAACACCAGCATCTAGAGAAACAACTTACACATTTACAACACAATCGAAGTGCTCATATGTGCACAATTATTATTAATGGTCTGTTTGGCATAACTTCTTATAAGCTGCTTGTGGTCAAAATAAACGAAAATGTTGGGGTCAGGGGCATCACCCGATCGTCTGAACGCACCTGTTGCCGTGGGCCGCAACGGTACGAACGGCCCAACTATCCCGGATGCCTCCTCCGATCGGTTGTTTGATAAAAAAACATTCGACTATCTTCTTCACCCACGGGTCTCCAAAAACGTCATTCTTCAATCCCCACTCACCGTCGAATTCCAATTCCGCGCTCCACCGTGACCGCGCTTCCGCGACCGCGGCCTCTCAACCGCGACTGGCCGGCCGCCATCCTCCATCTCCACCTTACCTGAGCGCCGCCGGCCGCCTTCCTCCCTCTCCACCGCAGTTCACCGACCATCACGCGACTTCAGTTCGTCGCGCCTGCCCGACCGCTTCCGTCCCTCTCCGACGGCACTCGGACCAAGAGCAGCGAATAATCAGCCTCCGCCTCTCTTCCTCTCCACAGAGCTTGGTCTGCATCCTCCCTCGGCAATGGCATCCAGTGATGCGGACGAGATCGGGCAGGGGGCAGCGCCGCCCGCCTCTACTGGCGCTGGTGGTGCCGTCGCGTGCCCTCATGTCGGTCCCCACCGAGCCAAGGGCACCCACAAAGCGCGACCCCTGCTGATGGTGCTCGCGCGCTGTTGCTTGGCACCGACTCCCACTCCGAGGCTAGAATCAACCGACCCTGGCCTCTCCCTCCCCCTATCTTGCAAATGTATGTTTCTAAGTGTTTCAGATGTTATCAGAAATATGCTGCAAGTGTTTCATATGGATGTTGCAAAAGTAGATCGGGATATTGCATATGTTTGCAAGTATTTCAGAGGCATGTTGCAAGTGTTTGTTCAAAATGTTTCATCTGTTTCAGACGTATGTTGCAAGCAAGCGTTTTTTATATGGATGTTGCACATGTTTCACACATACGTTGCAAGAGGATGTTCGAAATGTTTCAGCTGTTTAAGTCTTATGTTGCAATAAGTGTTTTCATGTTGCAAGTTGCAAGTGTTTTATCTGGATGTTGCATATGTTTCACAGATATGTTGCAATTGTATGTTCTAAATATTTCATCTGCTTCAGACTTATGTTGCATTCAAGTGTTTAATGATATAAGTGTTTCGTGTTTCAGAGGTACGTTCAGAGACTCATGGGGTACGGCCCAAGCGCTAGGGGATGCGAGCTAGGGCCGGCACATGGGGCGCACAGCGCACCTGGGGGCGTCCTCATTCGGGCTCCCGGGTCCCGCCCGCACGGAGAGAGGATGGGGTCAGGGGGGAGGAGTGCCGGACGCAGCCAGGGTGCGTGTGTGGGGCAGGGCGAGTCGGATGGGAGCAGGGTATGCGTGCGAGGCGGGGCGAGGCAGACGGGGGACGGACGTGCGCGTGCAGCAGCGAAACAGCGCAGCGGCAGGCGTAGGCGGGCGGGCGGGCTGGGACATCATTATGCGCAGAGTGTCCGGACGCGCTCGTATGCTCGGACATCTGGACGCTAGTAACTACCCAAAATAAACTGAAAATTAATAGGCAGCTAAGGCATCCCTGTTGTTGTGATCAGACTGTCCCGTCCTTTTTCTAATCCGACTAACAGCCTGTTCGGGAGGCCGTATCGTGGATTATTTACTGCTGGCTGGTTTGGTGTGAGAGAAAAACACTATTCCCGGCTGGAAATTTACGATCGTTTATGAGCAAGCGAACAGGCCATAAATGCCAGAGCTCCGGCCGAACTGAAATTAACTGCCGGACGACACATTTTTCTGTAGCTTATTTGACGCGCTTATTCCCACCACTTTAATTTTATACTAAAATACAAAAGCTGAATTAGAATTTAGACTCACTTATTTTGATCGTATTTTTACTGCATTTGTGTAGTTTCTCTGAGAAGCGTTGCATTTCCCTGAGAAGTTGTACCAAACAGGTCTTGTTTTATTTAAACAAAATACTAGTACATTTTAGTTTGCATCTTTCCATCTAGAAGAGCATTTGATGTCTCAATATTTCTGTGAACGATTTTTAAAGTAGACTCTTCATGGCAATATGCCAGAACTTTCCTAGTTCCAAATCTGTACGACGTAGGCACAGTGTACAAAAAGGTGGAACATGAGCAACAAAGTCTTTTAGTCCCAAACAAGTTGGGTAGGCTAGAGTTAAAACCCAACATGAGCCCCTAGTCAACACAATATAAATATAAAGAAGACCGAAAAAAATATTGTACTGTCTCCAAGATCTGCATATATGGAAGAGTATTTCTGGCCTACATTTCTCAAGTGGACTGTTCTAATGATATACTCCATCTGTCCTAAATTGTAAGTCATTCTTACTTTTCTACATGCAAAGTAACAGAATAAGGAGGTAGCCGAAATATTGCTGATGTTGAGACAGTACTGTGATCAATTGCCATGGGTTGTGGACGATATTCTTGAATGACAGTTGACAATCGAGATGAGACATCAAATAATTGCATTGCAAGCATGAAACCCAATATTTGCCTATGTACAACTGCAGCATCGGGCCCCCAAAAAATGCCGACACCAATACACCGTCGACCTACCTGGCTAGCTATACTCGATGCTGAAGTTCACAGCTTCACAGAAAAGGAGCTCGAAGATGGGAGGTAGCCACTGTCCTTGCTGCTGTGGGGCAAGACCGAAGGATCGCTTGAAGGCGTTTCAGACCAATTTGTTTGGCTGTTATTTACTGAGTGCTGGGACCAATTTGTTTGGCTGTTATTTATTGAGTGCTGGGATTGAGCGATGTTGAGTCGTAGATCTTCACTTAGATCATCGTCAGCAGGTACAATCTCGATGGGGATCTCGCCACGAAGCATCTTCACGACCGAAGACATTCTTGGCCGCTGGGTTGGTTGTGTGCTTGTACAGAGGAGAGCTACATTCAGCAGCCTCAGTGCCTGTTCTTGGGAGTAGTCAGAACCGAGACGCCGGTCCACCATTTCCAGCAGCTTCCCTTGCTGCTTCAATCTTTCAGCCTACGGTTTACAAACAAATTTAGTAAGGCGATTACTTGAACACTACATCATCAGTCCAACTATCAACAAAAGCAACGCATCTTGAACAGTGGCTTTATGGAAGACAATTCTAAATAAATTTACCAAGTAAGATGAATGAAACTTTATTGTGTTAATTTTCAATATTGTACCTTGAATGACAAAGAAGAAATAAAGAAAGGATATCAAAATATAATACCCAATCAAGAAGATGCAGATATTCTTCATTTGACATGCTATTTATATTGCTCATTCCACTAACAGTCTCTAGAGCCACCACTCCATAACTGTAGATGTCCGCTTTACGTGTCAAGCAACCTCTTGTGGCATATTCAGGAGCCATATAACCACTAAATAACAACCACCACAAAATAGGATCAGACATAGGAAGCATTAACTTCACGTGCTAAGTACATGAACTTTCATTAAGCAGAAGAAATTGTTATACAGTTGTAGTAGCAACTCCTTTAGAAGGTTAAGCGATTTGACTGCAATAGATAATTAAAGAATCATCAGCAACTAGAGAAATAGCTTACACAGTTCCAGCGATCCGAGTGCTCACACGTCCACATTCATCATTCAGTTTAGCCAAGCCAAAATCTGATATTTTAGGTTGCATCTTTTCATCAAGAAGAATGTTTGATGGCTTAATGTCTCTGTGGACGATTTTTAATGTAGACTCTTCATGGAGATAGACCAGGCCTTTCGCAGTTCCAAGGCAGATGTTGTACCTTGTTGGCCAATCCAATTTTAACTGATGTTCAGCGCGGCCTAAGAAATATCTTATTATTATTAGAACAGAATGTACTTGCTAGCTTTTGAGTGTTGTATTAATTAAGACAAATTCATTCCAGAGCAGGAAGTACAACGTTAGAAATTTATGAAGGCTTACCAAAAAGTGCACGGCCAAGACTATTATTTTCCAAGAATTCATATATAAGAAGGAGCTGATCCCCATTAATACAACAACCAAAGAGCCTCACAAGATTTGGATGCCTTAGAGCAGATATTATTCCTATCTCATTTAAAAACTCGCGGTTTCCTTGGCTCGACTTTGAAGATAGCTTTTTAACTGCAACTATAGTACCATTTGCTAGTGTGCCCTGAAGACAAAGTGTATTAATAATATGTGGAATAATTACATAAATGCTAACCAAGGAGAGGAAACAAAAATGAACTAAAATGCTTGTTTTGCAGCTAGGCTTGATCCCCCTTAACAATTACTTCCTAGATCTGTTTATTGGAACCTTGACCCCTTGAGTGTGCCATGATGAGTTGTTTGCCCTCAACAATTAACAAATTGTCCATCTTTTTTTTTTAGTGGCCGTCCTTTCGTTCTTGAAAACAAAAGGGATACCAGATGATGGCCTTCTAATGTCAGAAAACTACCAGCAATATAGATTGTCAGGGAAAATATTATTCCTTCCGAGCTCTATATATTTCTATATTATAATGCTGGGTATTTGGCAACTGAAAAAAGTACGTCTCATCATCAGTTTATGTGAAAATATATCAATAAATGAGGTGATGAAGTAAACTGTTTTCTCTATGCCACCAGAAGAGAGAGGATATTGAAGTTCATAGTTTTTACCTTGTAAACAGGTCCAAAGCCACCCTCACCTATTTTATTTGCGGGATCAAAATGTTTTGTTGCAGATTCGATCTCTTCCAAACTAAAGAAATACTGTGCCCGTGTTTGAAGCTCCGAAGTAGTAGTTTTCCTTCCTTGGTAAAAGAACTGTCTACCTATGATGACACATGCGGTAAAATATGAATACTTGGTGACAGAAATACAGCAGTGACTAAACTACTGATTGCAAGATGAGATTAAAACTGACCCATTGAACATTGCACATAGACGCTACCTTTGAAATCTAAAAATACCTTTTGCAAATATGACACCCCCACAAAATGAATTAGGCCATGGCTTAGATTTATAAGCCTGACTAATCTTAAGCTAGGTAAAACAGCATTTAAACTATCCTTAAGGTACGCAAAGCAACCAAACATGGAGCTTGGTTCACTATACAAATGTGTAATCACCCCTACTTCATGATCGATCATGTAGAAACATCAAACTGTATTATCAATATCATAAATTTTCTAAAGATGGAGCAAGCAAGAGGCATTAATTTTCAGTGCACTGCAATATGCATAATACCAATCATGAAGAGTTAAGTCATTTTTAACAGCAAGATAAGAAAAAAATATGTGATCTGAAGAGTTAAACCAGTACTTTTATATGTTTTTTAACAGCAACCATTTTGCTGGTGTGAAAAATGGAACGTAAGTAGAAAGAGCTGACAAAAAACAATGGCAAGGATGAGAGGGAGAACAAAGCATGATGTTCTTCCAGACCACAGATGCCACTAGGTGTGACAAATGGATTATTTATCCATTTTTTTCAACTAATGTGTATTTGATAGTATATGAACGTCACTAAATTTCCTGTACGATTAACAATTTATATCCTATTCAGATTCAAATTCTTGTAATAAATATGGGGTGCATGGTATAAACTTCTACATCCAAAAAATGCAATTAAATAGGAGGTATTCATGTCTATCGAGTGCAAATCATGGTAACAAAAGAACGATAAATGGCAAGGGACTGACTTCTTAGTGGACCTGATAGAGTGATGTGGATAGAGTGAGAAATGTCAGGACAAGTGATACCAAGATATACACGATCAAAAGGAAATTGAGTCACACAGAGTCATTGGAAAGATAGCAGAGTTGCAGCTGTTTGCCAAGCTTGCAACCTGTACAATAGAGAGCACTATCACCGGAAACAAGACCTAAGACACTGTTACTAACTAAAGTGAACAGTCTAGAGCCTGAGAGATGACCTAGACAATGATGCCACTACGTAAAAGTAGTGGTATATGATGTAGCTGACGCGGATGCAGGAGAACTGGACGGTAGATAAAGTGGGTGAAGGAAGATGCAACCAGTAAAGCTCCCAAAGGCCCTGAGAATCATGATGCCCAGGCCCAAAGAAGCTCCTGTAGGAGATCCTGTGTCAACCTCAAGAATGATATGACAGTCGTGGTCAGCGATCTGACTAGCACATATTAAGTCAATAGCGAGCTTAGGAATATGCAAAACAGAAGGGACATGAAAAAGATGAAGTTTCTTTCAAAAAAATGAAAAAGATGAAGTAGAGAGAATGCCATATCCAGCGATAGGAAGAGACGTGCCATCGACGGTCTGAACAATGAAAGGCGAATCAGGATATAACATCGAAGACAAATGAGTCGAATCAAGAGTCATATGAAAAGATACACTAGAATCAAGAAACCACTTGGATATATACCTGGATGATGAGGAGTAAGAGTAGAAACAAAAGCCTGAACAGTGGTCCTGTGTGCTGTGGTCTGCGTTGTGGTAGCAAGACGGCGAAACAGGGCAAGGATCTCCTGCTCAGCGGCAGACACTGAATGAGTGGCATGTGGAGTAGAAGAGCGTCGGCCTTTCCTGTTCCGGTCATGCTTTTTCTTGTGGCAAGCCCACTTGTCATGGCCAAGCCATTTACAATAGCCACAAAGAACGCCAGAAGAAGTCCCCGCCGCCACAAGCGAGGGTGGAGGCATCAAGGAAGGTGGTGGCGAAGACACCTGGGAGGGCATGGCAGCTAGCATAGATGGTTGCTGCTGAGCACTGCTCACATTAGCAATGCGAAGGCGTGTCTCCTCAGCCTGTAGCTCAGGCATCGCTTCAAAAAGCGATGGACACGGACGACGAGTCAACAGTTGCGCCCGGACACTTGCGAATTCAGGACGAAGCCGAGAGAGGAACTCGTGAAGACGAAGAGTCTCTCTATGGCTCCGGTGGCGCTCACAGCAACGGCAAGTACCAGCACTGCAAAACTCAGCACCCAAGCTGTTTAGACAATGCTAGATAGCTGACATTTGACGGTGGAAGTCCTCAACAGTGGAGCCAAGCTGGCGAAGCGCCTGAGCTTCCTCGACGATAGCAAGGTACATTGCCTCGTTACAAGTCTTGTAACTACGGTGAAGGTGAGCCCACATCAGGTATGTAGTAGAGAGGCCCCTGAGGGACCTCGAGAGGTCGACCTCAATGCTCGCAACCAAGATGGCCTTGGCACATGCTTCCTCACGCAGCCAAGTCTCGTAGACACCGAGATCAGATTGGTAGTCCTCCATCTCAGTCTCAAACACCTCAAGCAAAGCACTCTTAGCGTCATCAGCAACATCCGGCGGATAGGTGGGCGGCGTGGGAAGAGCAGGACGTTGTGGACATGTCCGCTCACCCGTAAGATACTCCCAAAGCTGCTGAGCACCCATGTCAACCTCCATGTGGAAGACAAAATCGCTCCAATTGGTGCCATTGAAGACAACCGGGCACCGAGGAACAGAAAAAACATCCGGACAAACGGACGATGGCATGAAGTCTACTGGCTCTGGACAGCGAAGAGGCGGACGAGCGACAGCCCACTGGCGCAGTCGCGCCCGAGCGCGTGAGGCCGCGGGGGCGCGGACGCAGTGCCGGCGCGCGGGCTGCGGTGGAGCAGGCACGGGGCCGCGAGGTCGGCGCTCGGGCCGTGGCGGCGCAGGCCGCGGGGCCGCAGGGCAGGCGCGGCGATGCGGCCGCGGGGGCGGCGCGTTGTGGAGGCACGGGCGAGCTGGCGGTGGTGCGGGCCCGCGCGGGACGACGGCGCGGGGTGGAGCCGCAGCAATGGGGAGGGAAGGGAGGGAGTTGCACGACCACCTCGACGGAGGCTCACCGGCGACTTGCCGGCGACGGCGGCCAGGTGAATGAAACCTGTTATGAAATGCAACTGTATTGATATGGAGATGTACAAAGTGCATATAGCACCCTCCATTACTGACTAAATACATGCACAGTATATACATCTAACACCATGGATGTGGCAAAAGGATGATAAGGAAGGCAAGAACGCCCTAAACTACTAAGTACTTTTTAGCAAAAAAAAAATCACTAAAGCAATCCATTAGAGGACTTGTTAGTAGAGGCAGTGACAGTGGGCAAGGAAGATGCAGCAAAAGTGGATGGCAGTGAGGTCTGCTAAGGATGTGAAAGGTGCTGATAGTCTCTACAAAGGCCAGTTGCGATCTTGGGCCCTGCATGAAAATCATGGAAAACGGAAAAGGATGCTGGGTTAAAACCAGCACAACCATGACTAGTCTCTATAAAGGCCCTGTTCATGCCCGGTTTGTTTCGCTGAAATTTAGCTGTTGCTTGATGCTGATTTGTTGTGAGAGAAAACACTGTTCCTTCGCTGAAAAGTACTGCTGAAGTAGTGCTGAAAACTGGATGAATGGAGGTACCTCAGAAAACTGGGGAAAATTGGTAGATCCTGATGGCCCCTGGTGAGTTAGGCCTTGAAGCAGGTTAACCAGCCGAGTGACCTCATTCTGGGTCAATCAAAACTCAGAAGGTTCAGAAGACCTCACCTTGGAGCAACTGCCCCCTGTTGTTCTTCCTCTTGCAGCACTTCTAATAAGTGTGGCTAAAGTTCCCACAATGGTCGAACAGAATGTCAACAAAAGAAGGATGTTAACTTCATTGAATGCATTCGTAAAGGCACCGTTTGTCATTGTGGCAGTGGCACTTCACGCAGCAAGCACATTCTCCACAAACATCTGGGAGTGGGACCAATGAATCGATCTTGCACCAGATAGTCATAAACCGGTCAAAAAATGCTTCTCACAGAATTGTCGTCCTATTTAAGTGCCTGGAGATGCTGCAGCAGGGAGTAGTGGATGGCGTCGACATCCGGCTGGTAGTGCTGCTGAGGGTGTTCCCACGTCTGCTTGGCACTCTGCAGCAGCAGGTGGATGATGTTGGCCTCAACACTCTGAACCAGGACGAGCATGGCACTGGCGTCGTTGGCGTCCCATTGCTTGTAGACATCGAGAGAACTTTGATAGGCCTTGAAGGCCTTATTGGCAGCATTGAGTGATCACCTTGGTATGTAGCCGATGGCCGGAGTGGAGGAACAGGGGCAAGAGGGCAGGGGCTCTCACCGGTGATGTGCTCCCAAGACCATGGGCACTGAGACTGATCCTGGCTAACTATGCCCATAGCCTGAAGTTTGTCCCGTTCAGATCCAGCCTGACTAAGGGCGCCGGTATCTCAAATATAGACATCTCCAGTTTCTGCTAAGAAGAGTTGCCATGGACCGGTTGCGTGGCAAGGAGTGGCAGCGCAAATTCGTCACTTGGTCTAGGAGGATTGGCCGCATATGTCAACCCCGGGCAACTGGCCTCGGCAGGGTCCAGGAGGTGGCGCTCCAACAAGAGCAGCAGGGGCATCTCTTGGATTGCAGCGGCAGGGCGGTGGACGCCGGTGATGGTGGCAATGCGGATTCAGGGGATTAGGGTTTTGCTTTTAACCTGAATGAATTTTTAGTGTTTACATAGGAAAAGTGGATTACAATTGAAGGCGATATTTTATCCAAAGAAACTCCTGTACATGAGAAAAATGCTATACACAAAAATTGTATGATATACTTACTCGACACATAAGTCATTTATACTCCTACATATGTATGTGAAGAAAACGAGACAATCATATCCAAGGTCCATATAGAATCAATCTGTCACTATATCATAGTTCTAGTTGAAGTTGCCCATTTTTAAAAAAAAGCAAACACGCGAATACAAAATAATAATTAATACTATGAAGCATGTTGAACCTTATATATAGTGAAAACGATGGAAAATTATAATAAGAAGATGGACTCACTGTTTTCTTTTATATTCTTCTTTCGGAAGACTTTGAAATATAAAGCTATCAGAACTATAACAGCCAAGCATGCCGCAGCTATTACTATGGCAACCACCACTCCAGTAGAGACTCCACGGTGGTTCCTGCCCACTGTACAGAAACCAAGTTAGCAAATTCCCAAGCATATGACAAGATATGATAATTTCCGTTTGTTTCAAAAACCGAGCAAAGAAATTGCCAACAGATTATGGAGTGAGTGAACTACTCACTCTTTGTCACTGATATGGCTGAGATCAGTGGACCATACACGCCACGGTAAGGTATCGCTGTGGTGCCTTTGCCTCCCCAGTAGAAGTGGATTTCCAGTGTATTGTCGCTAATGTTGGTTGCAAAACTTTCGATGATCGCACGATGGACACCACCAATCTTATCTTTGATGTTAAAATCCTCCAAAACTTTGACACCCTGAAAAGTTATTATAAAGTTCAGGTAACAATACAATAGAAATCAAAGGAATCTTGTATCTATATTTCACAAACTTGTCAAGTAGAATCAAACAGATTCACTCAAAGGTTACAAAGTCAGGAAGGGATATAAACAGCTTGAAGAGTAGTTGTTACAGCAATAAGTGAAACCAACAAAATTAAGCTACTCAAACAAAATAGAAACTTTGACATGTGTTATTTGTAATCTCTTATCCAACTTCTGTTGTCCAAAACTTCAGTACAGTGGTTCATTTTATCAGTACAATTGCAATACAGCAACTTTTTCAGTTTACAATCACCTGTCCTTGACAAATTGCTTATATTTACATGACTTAATTGACCAAAGGCAAGTGTGGCAAACTAGAGAAGTTGTACTACTATGAAAACTAAGATGCCAGACTGAATGCGAAAGGTCAACAATTGGTAGACACATTACCTGGATGAAGACATCGAAAACACGCTTGCCATTGCTGGAATAAGTATGATCTTCTGTGAACACAATTTCAGCAAAGTGAAGTTTTACCATATATTCACCATTCTCCATGCAAAGGCCATAGTATTTCAGTGACAGAGGTGAGAGGCGAGCTTCAGTGTAAAGCTCCGGGTCAGCCAGATTTAGCTTTGATGTGTTTCTAGCAATGTAGTCAGCATTCTCATTGCCCACAAAATCACCAGTGCTACTATATGCCCATTTCTTATCATCAGACACAGAAAACATTGATGTTCCTATCTGAGACGAGTCATCCTCAAAGGTATTCCCATCGATCACAACACTTTTTCCGCCACAGTTGATGAACAGGGAGGAATCTGAATATATTTGAATGAAATATTCAGTAATATTAGATATTTAAACTCAATTATCAAAATACAGACTGCTGTCAACCTGCTGTGTGTAAGTAAACTTACGGCGTGGTCTGGTTGTGCAAGGAAGATTCTTTCTTAAACATGGTTGCAATCTTGCAAAAAACAAATAACCATAGAGCAATAAGAATTCTTTTCTTTCATAGAATCTTGATAATAGAAAATATTGTCTGGACATTTTTTTTGTGTATGATCTTACGAATTGTTATTTGAAGATGAAAAGCTTGACACCATATTTCTGAAATTGCAACATGCAAGTCATGAGCACCATAAAAACTGAACTTAACTGTATGTGAGGATCTTTAAAATTTACATACACATTTGCTTGCTGACATTCAGATGGAGGGTTGCCTGTGAAGTCATTATATGATATATCCCTGCAGAACATTGATCATTGTCATGGAACAAGCAATCAACAGGATAAAAGAAGATTTTGAGTGCTTATCATTCTTTAAGAAGTTATGAAGTGACTTAGTTGGAGAATACACACATGTTTACTTTATTGCTCGCCTTATTTTTCAACATCCAAGCAGGCAAATCTCCAGTCAGCATATTGTCAGTCAGGTACCTAATATTTTGTACAAATCAAAATTAGGTTCCATTGGATGAAACTTAATGCAGGCTAGAAAGCTATTTAGTGTACAACATCAATAAAAAGATTGAGAAGTTAAAAAATAATAATATCCCAGAGCGAATTTCTCACAAATATTGTAGTGCCATCATTGCTCCAAAATTTACTGGAACTTTATCAGTCAACTTGTTGAAGCTTAAATCCCTGAAATTAGTACAATTCACAGAAACTATGTAATCAGGGGTTTTTGTGACAATGTGCATCAAAGATTTACTGATGATCAAGTATTCAAGTTACATTTGCAGAAATAAAATGTGTACCCAATAATAGACAATGCACTTAAGCATTACTCATGCCATCCCCAAAACTAGCACATGCACCCCATATATCTTTTTGTTTCTGTTATACCCATATTGATGATTGGACGTTACAATTGGCAAAATTAAATGAAATCGAAGCATAGTGCTTACAAGACTTTCAGGTACTGCATTTGGCCAAGGTAAGAAGGAATTTCACCATATATGGAGCAATTTCTTAAGACCCTGTGAACATAAAGGAAATTCAGTATTCTAGTGGAAAGGATTACTGGGTGGCCTGGTAATAAAAATGAAAAAACATAAACTCACACTTCCGTAAGGTGTAGTGCATTTTGTAAGGGAGGAAATTTCATTCTTGGTCCACTCAAATCAGTCACCCTCCTGATGATGCATTACCTTTGCTCAATCACACTCTTCTTTAAGTACCACACTTCCAATACAAGATAAAAACACAAAGTGCTAAAAGGATAAGGCAGCAAGTGATTCATACAATTCTGTCAAGTTCTTCAACAAGGAAATTTCTGGAGGAATAGGCCCACTCATCAAGGTACCCTGCATATCGCTGGAAAATGAAGAGACAAGGTTAATATGGAAATGGGAGAAAATGAATAAAATCTTTCTGATTCACTTCAACTGAAGAATATAAAATGTTTTTTTAATCAGGGAGAAACTAACATTCTGTTGACGCCCTGCCAGTTCTTTATGAAACTAGGTATTTTCCCTGAGATACTGTTCCCATCAACACGACTGCAATTGTTCAAATAACAAGTTAGAAGTTTTTGGGAAGCAAAAACATTAAGCGGCGATTATGAATGGAACATACAAATCTGTCATGTTTGTCAGTTTGGAAAAGGTTGTGGGCAACTCTCCTGTGATGTTATTCGCAGAAATGAAACTGTAAGAGAGAAATGATTCAAGATACCCTGGACAATAATTAGTGCCAAATAAATAATAAATTGCATTTGAAGATGCACTCATGGCATTTGCAAACAATAGAATTAACCAGCATGTAAAGGGAAAGAGAATTAAAGAGGATTCCTTACATTTTGGTTATGCTACTTCCTTACAAGGTTATGCTAACTGACATATAAACTATAGTTGTTGTGTTGTATCAAAGGCAAAACCACCACATGAGTGTGGAGGAGGTTGTAAGGGATTCTTTTCCTCTTTTTTCTTCTTAATATAACGATACACATCTCTCCTGTGTGTTTGAGAAAAAAACTAAAACTATTCCTTTTCTCAAACACGCAGGAGAGCTGTGTGTATCATTTCATTAAGAAGGTAAAAAGGAAACAAAGGGGAAGGAACCCCCCCCAACACACACTCACAGCAGGACACACACAACAACCTCAGCAAGAAACTAAAAACCCCAGAGACAAGAGACAAAAACGACCCATCTAAGACGGTTAGAGCCTTAGAACCAAAATAGATCAATGGCCTCTAGCAAATGCCTTAGTAGGCAACTCCTGAAGACCTTTTGCCCCAGCTGAGCACCACAAAATGCATTCATCAGTGATAGTCTGCAGCAAGATCTAGATGTTTGGGCTCGTGCCATTAAAGAATCAGTCATTTTGGTGCTTCCAGATTTCCCAAGAGACAAGGATGATCAGGCTGTTGATCCCCTTTGGCCCTTTCAACAGCCTTTTGGCACACCCTTCACAGCTTGGCACCACCAGGTTGAGAACTTGTTTGAGGTTGGCTGAGGAGCACCTGAGGCCAGGCCGAGCTTCTGTAGGATTTTATATACCAAACCTGACGAGCAAAGACGCAGGAGACTAACAAGTAACAAGTGTTGTACAGTTTCATTTTCTTGGTCACAAAGGGGGCAAGCATATAGCAGAACATTTACACATCAATGATGTATTGATGCTACTAAAAATACAGTGACTTAACCAAATCCATGCCATGCCAAGGTTCGAAGTTGCTGCAGGTTTTCTCAAAAAGATTTTTAGAAAAAAACTGCCAATTCAATTCTAGGAACCTTGGCTTCAGTTATCACAGATAAACAATAATGTAACAAGAAACCTTCCTCGACGAAGTTCTAGCAATGGATTTTACAAAAAAAGGTCTAGGTACAAGAATATTCACAATTGGAAGCAAGGGCTTACAATCTCTGCAGACTGATGATGTTACCCAGCTCTGGTGGAATAGAACCCGCAAGCTGATTGCCTTCTAACTGTCTGCGGAAATTAGTTATTAGGTTACTGTACTTAGCTCTTTTCTTCTTTCAGTTTTACCTCCACCAAGATGCAGGTACATGCAAATTGGAATGGACGCACATATGCAACTCACATAGATTTCAACTTGGGCATGCGCCCAAGCTCCTTCGGTAGGGTTCCAGATATGCGATTTCCCTGGAGAGACCTGTAGTCAAACAAGAATGCTGAATAAAGCATACATGAATAATTCTGACAAAACTATGGGAGCAGTGCAAGGCGTACAGATTAAAAACAGGTAGGTCAGCCCATGAAGCTGGAATTGGTCCTTGAATGAAGTTGCGTGACAAGTCACTGCAAGAAATGTAAACTATGTTTTCCTGATTTGTCCGTCAAAAAAATATCAAAAAAAATCAGGTAGCTTGGTTAACTTACAGATTTTGCAGATAAGTAAGATTGACAACTTCATCTGGTAGAACTCCACTAAGGTTCTGCCGCATAAGCTCCCTATGATACGTACAAACACATACAAATAAAGGCATAATGCATCATTCAACTTAGAATGAAAGACAATAGAACCATACTGAAAGAATCTGGATGAGAACCATTTTAGAGCACAGAAATTAGCAGAACAGTGGTGCATGTCTTACAAGCTGATAACATGGCACTCGGTGTGGTTGTTGAATGAACAGTCACATGTCACATTACTGCTAAACTTCGCATTATTGCTAAGCGAACCAGTGACATTGACCCAATTTCCTGATCCGCTGCATGGATCCACGCTAAAATCCCAATCTGCTTTGTTAAGCTTGTGGGCTATTCCTTTGAGTGCTTCAACTGCAAAGGCGAAGATGTTTCAAGTTTCAGCCAAATGCAGAAGCTACAAGCTAGTATGTACGAAATCTAAGCTTGTTAACATAAGCATTTCATGCTGCTTCCCTTCCCCTGGAAAGCAAAAGAAAATTGATACAAATGGTGCCAGAGTAAACATGAAGCATCCCCCACGTCAATAACATTGCAGAGCAGTCACAGCACCTGAATCTCATGCAACAAATGAAGTCAGTAGTCCAACATTTCGGGGCAGCACAGAACTGTAGAAGCATTGCAAAACCGTTGCCATGGCCAACCCAAAACAAGACTAATCGGTCAGCACTCGGAGCAATGCTTTGCCAACACCAGCGCAAAAAGCTGCTGGCATTCGACTCAGCCATTTCGTCAAACACTTGGCAGGCCCCCACCCGTTGGACCACAGACAGAGAGAGAAAGGTGGTCAGCCACCTGCCAACGCCCAACAGCTTTGCATGTGCATGTCGCACTGGGATCTTGAAGGCGAACACCGCAGTCAAACGTCAGAGCCTCAAAGGTGAGGATTTTGTCGGCTGACAGGGTTTGTTTACTTGTCTCGCTCGGCAAGTGGGGAACTGGCCTAATCTTGACGAAGATGGATAAGCTTCGACATGACGAGTTCACACGTTACAGTGAATTAAAGCTGCTGCTATCTTGCACTAGTAACCCTACTATCGACGACAACGTAGCAATTAGTCTAATCACGGAACAGTGTAGTTTTTCATTACCAAGATCATAGAAGTACTACTGCTATTTCGGAAAAAAAAGTTTTTTTTTTCACGCCATTGCAATTTTATAAATTTGGTGATACGCCGTTACATTTCGCCCAGAGAACTAATTGTAATTTCATCCCTCCGATCTATGTCATTTTCTACGTTTCCCGTACGTGGACCCACTGTCAGGTACAAGAACGTGTATGCGCGTTAACTCCGTGCCTCCTCCGTTAGAACAAGTCCGCTCACGGCAGAGGAGCGCTCGCCCGTGGCGGCTAGCGCGCGAGGCGGAGCGAGGGCGCTCGCGCGCGAGGCAGAGCGCGCGGCGCTCGCCCGCGGTGACCTGCGCGCGACGCAGAGCGGCGGCGCTCGCCCGCGGTGGCTTGCCGAGCCAGGGGCCGTTGCTGAGCTCGGACACGAGGAGGCTCAGGGCCACGCACACGTTCAGGGCACGCGCGCGCTGAGATGAACATGCTGCAAGAGTCGCACACGTTCGGGACACAAGCAACATTCGTTGGCATGTCATTATCTCAACAATCTGTAGTTTGCATGGTGCAGCACTACTCTATAACAATTCGTTGGCATCTCATCAGCATTCGCTGAACGAGCACTCCGCACCGGAGGAAGAAGGGACAAGGACGAACGAGAACAGGGGCACGCACGGACCTTGATGAAGACGACGCCGGAGCCCATCAACCTGAGATCGGCTGCGTGTTCGCGTGCGGCCCCTGCCCCCGGGACGTCCGCGTCGTCCTCTGTCCATACCGCCTCACTCGGATCCGCGCCTGCACGTCGCGCCGCCTCTGCAGCCTGCCCGCGCTCCCACAGACCCGCCACGCAGCCGCGTCGCCGGGCTCGCCACGCTCCCGGAGGTGAAGAAGACCACCCGACGGTTCGTCAACGTCTCTGGGACGGCGCTCACCTACCTGCTCTTCGACGGCGCCGCCGCCGCGGAGTCGGCGTCGCTGTCGCTGCACGTGTTCCACCTGCTCCAGTTCTGTCTCGACGACATGGACTCGGTTCGCGCGGTGCACACCTACTCGTCGGCAGACGGGGCATGGGCCGACAGGGCGGGCGCGTGGCTCAACGGCGGGTGGCGGGACTGGGGCCGCGGCATGGCGCTGATCCAGCTGGGCACGGGCGCCGCCGTCGCCCGCGGAGCGCAGCGCGCTGCACCTGGTCATTGACACCGACAGCACGTCGGGCCCCAACAACCTGGTCGCCGTGGACGAGGAAGGCCGCACGACGCGGACCATCCCGCTGCCGTGCCGGGACGTGGTGGAGAAGGACTGGCACTCGGTGTTCGTCGCCCGCGGCTTACGAGGGCAGCTGCACTACGTCATGTGCGTGCGCCCGCCGCACAGGCCGCTGTCGGAGGAGGCGCCGCTGAGGCTGGGTGCTCCAGGACAACGACGCCAGGGAGTGGGTGCTCAGGTACGCCGTGGGATCCCGGAGCCGTTCGGGAGGATCACGTGCCAGTTCCGCGTCGAGTACAGCGTCGTCGCCGTCCACCCGGCCGACACGTACCCCGCCGTGGCTAACACCACCACCAAGGCCTTCGACCGCGTGCTCGTCGTGAACCTGCGCCAGTTCCCGCTGCGGCCACCATCAACATCCGGCGCGAGTTCCACGCCGACGCAGACCGTGGGCAGATCCCCGCGGTGAACCCCCGCAGCTCTCCCGCGCCACGGCGTAGTAGCGCGCGGCGTCGATGAGCACGACGTGGAGAGCGGCGACGTCGACCACGGCGAAGGGCGTGGCGTCCGCTGCTCAACAATTTACAGAGGCTTGTACGGTACCACTAACCATTCGGTGGCGCACGTCCAAGCGCAACTGCGCAAGGAAGTTGCTGAGTTCATCCGCCCACGGGAGAATTGAAAACAGATGCGTGACGCGACGGAACAATACCAAAGCGTTAGGTTGCAGAACAAATCGGCGGTCTGCTGTCCGACGTGGAGTGCACAAGGCAACATGGGATGAAAACGCTAAGCCAAGTCTATGCAGCATAAACTCGACGCACTTTGTGAGGTGAAAAGATAATATAAAGATAAAATAACTTCGCTGTTAAATTCCTGTTTTGATCATCGTAATCAGCAACTATATGATGTACCGCTGCCCTAGTAGTAAATTCCCTTCTTTTTTTTCTTTGCGAGACCTGTAGTAGTAAATTCAATCGCGCCCGGAATATATAACACATATATATCCCTGCCGACACCGTCATTAGGAAACAGCTAGCCATTCACCAATTTCTTGTATAATACATCGATGGTTCTTGGAAAATGCTAAAAATCACGCGTTATCGGAAATAGTATGATTTGATGCTTGTTTAGCTCAACTGAAGCATTCCCAATGTTTCCCCCATGTTTTTTTTCCAAGAATTACGCGCACCGGATGAGGAAAAAATTGCAACAGCAGATCCGAGAAGAAGCGCAGAACTCCAAGAACACTAGAACAGAAAGAGCATGGGAGTGGAGGGACAAAAAAAGGTCGAGGATACGTGCTGTGGCTCACCTTCTTGCTCCGGCAGCAGCGTCGTCTGCGCCGAGGAGCATCGGGCGCCATTGTTGCTGCAGCCGAGGCCCAGGGGGAGCGCGAGAAGCAGGAGGAGGCGGACGCGGACGCGGACGCGGGCGGCGGCATCCATTAGCTTGGCTAGGCAGCTCCCCTTGGTCTTCCGTTCCCGTAGCTTAGCTAGCCAGGCGGCCGTGTTGCTGCAACTCCAGGCGGCCAATCGGGCGCTATCTAGGCGAGCTGAGCGAGCGAGGTCGCGTGTTGCAGAGGCCAGAGAGGGAGAGGAGAGCGCGGACAAGTCTGCCGCTCGCGTTCTTCGGCCGAGAGAGGTTTGCTCGTGGACTCGTGGGCTCATGGTCATGGCACACCAGAAGGCAGCAGCCCCTGGATTTTTGACCTCGGGTTCTTTTGTGTCGTACTACTAGTTACTACACAGACGTGGATGCGCACGTGAAATTCTATGGTGAGCTGACGCCGACCTACCACCAAACTCGTCGATCGTCCTGCGCCAGTGAGAGCATAGCTAAGCGCGTGTTCAGTTTAGATTAAAAATTTTTTTTTATTCTCTATCACATGAATATTTGACATACGTATAGAAGTATTAAACGTAGATAAAAAAAAAAACTAATTTCATAGTTTGGTGAAAAATTACGAGACGAACGTTTTAAGCCTAATTAGTCTATGATTAAACACTAATTACCAAATAAAAATAAAAATACTATAATAGCCCTAAATTTCAACTTACTGAAACTAAACACGCGCTAAATAATTAGGATCGTAACATATTATGTATAACTAGTCTAACGGTATATACTTTTCTCACTTCAATCACCATTCTCTAGTGCGTCAAGGGCATGCATTCGAGTCAGTGCTCTTTATTGCCACCGTTGATTAGTAGTACAACTTGGCATGCCTGAACCTGAACGGCGCTCGCTCGCTCGCTGGTTGGTGGTTGATGCCGTTAAATTCTACGCGCACGCGGTCTGGGGAGCCTGCCTGGCAGCTGCCGCCACTGGCCCACTGCTGGCAGTGGCAGCTAGCCTGCCACACTAGCGTCTACTAGAGCGACGAGCGAGCCACAGTGCCACTGGAGACCCGGACAGAGCTAGTAGGCAGCTAGCCACTGCCAAACTGCTAGCTGGTGGTGGTGATGCCCATGCCAATCAACGTGCTCGAGTGCGTGCTAGTAGCTGTTTCGTTGTCGCTCAACCAGCGTCGGTTTGGGAGGGCTCCAGCTTCTTAAAAAACAAGTTTGGTTCTGACTCTTATAAAGAAGCGGACTCTTTAGAGAGCTGAAGTCATTTATTTTATTATTTGGCAAAACAGTTTCTTCAGGTGATAAAAGGAGTAAAAAGTCTATAATATTTTTTTTTTCTTTTTCTATTTTCTATTTTCTTTTCCTTTTTTACTTTTCCTACCTTATCCAATCGCTTGCGGTTGCAACCACACACCTGCAACGCGAGTACGCACGCGTCTTCAACCTCTGGAGGCCGCACGCTCATCCTGTCGCCGCGGGCGCATGAGAGTACACCGCCATGGGCCACCGGTGCCGCACCGCCCTCCCCCACGCTAGTTCCTCCTCCAGCGCCCTCTCCCCCCACGCTCGCCGCGCCCTTGTGCCCTTGCGCAGAACTCCGGTTGTCCGTTCCTCCACGCGCCAAGGCTTTTGTCGTCAGTCTGCCACGCCCGCCCGTCTTCGCCACGAGCGTCGCCACCCACGCCGGGGCAAATTCGCCCAGGGCCCCACGATCTGAGCATGAAGCCGGGTGAAGCTCGATTTTTTAGCTCCCATCAACCGATCTCGCACCAGAGAGCGAAATATGCGGGGCTCCTTCGTCGGAGCACTTGCCTCTATACCCGTTTGGCTGTGGGAGCTAAAAAACAGCTCCACGAGCTGGTTGAGAATCCCTACCAAAGAGGCTCCTATACTCAGTGTCTCTTTGGCAACGTCTATACCGGCTTCGACTTTACTACTGTATCGATCAGTACCGTAGCAAAAACCGCTAAATTCCTTAAATCCTGGCTTCACTTTCACACACGTCTATATATGCTCTCTCTCTATACGGCCGGCGTCGTGGCGGAGTCGAAGTGATCGACCGCAGCATTTGCAGCATTTCTGCCCATGCATCATGTGCTACGCAGAGCTGAAAACGGGTAATGACCAGCTGCGGCAAGCACGGAATATAATGGCATGGAATACCGCTACAAATATGTACTATGCCCCCATGCATTTTCCCCCCCGAGTTGCAGCACCAACTGATGACCTTGTTGATTTGGTATTTTACACATTTCGGTGATTCGGTGCAAGCATATATATACACATGCGTCGAAGGTTCTTTCGGGCTTATCAGTTTTAGCATTCACGAAACTACTACTCTAGTGCTACTGCCACCAGCAACGAACATTACTGGTTTCCTTTGCCTGCTGTAGTGCTGTGTGAGGATCTGGAAACGTACGTATGGACGTTCTTGCTTCGCTTGTTCACTTCCAATAACATGTATTCCGTTCTAAAATTATAAATTGTTTTGGCCTTTTCTAGATATATATCTAGAAAAAATGCCCATATGTTGCGATGGGAGGAAAAAAACTATCAAACGTTAATAGAAAACAAGGACAGGACGTTACATATCAATTTATGTTTTACCCTATCTATAAACTTTATAAAAGCTATAATTTATCTTATGATGACCACATGACGTGCGCCGGGCGCCTTGCTAGTGCTGAATGGCACCGCTGCTCGGTTTCATGTAAATATGAAGAAATAGATAATAGATATAGATATTTATAAGAAACACACATAAAAGACAGAAGAAGAGATAACTTTGAAGTTGCCAACAGATGAAAAGAAAAAAAATAAAAAGGAAAAGCATCCTATGTGGACGGACGAAAAAAAGGAAGATAATAAACAAAACAAAAGAATAAGGACGTACATGAAAACAGTAAACGGAAACGGGTGTCATGACCGATTAAAAAAAGGAAGATAAACAAAACAAAAAAAGGAAAAAACGGAAGTACATGAAAAACAGGAAACGGAAACGGATGCCATGACCAATGAAAAAAAAGGCAAAAACGATGGATAAAGAAAAATGCCTCTTAACGGATGAAGGTAACAGGTATAACTCTAGAGTTTTTTTTATGTGCAGGAAAGACGGACAATGTATTGGGATCGGAAAAGAGTAGAGACATGTGTGCACGGCTTATGAGTCCGGGATCACATACATGACCCAATACGTTTTGTAATCGGACTCCATATTGCGATAGACAAGAGCTATTCTAATTCGTATGAGTACGGGAAACTCTCCATTATCCAGTAGTTAGAGGGAGACGGACCAAAAAATAGATGGACAAAAAAGTGGTTGAAATTTTGCCTCTTTATTAATAGATATATATAGATTTACTATATATCTAGACATAATATTTATTTAGGGTCGTAACAATATAGAAAAATCAGAATAACTTATGATAGTTGTGTATCTAGACATAATATTTCCTTCCTTTTTATATTGTGTAATCTGCAAATGCAAGAACAGCAGCTAGCAGGCATTTGGTTGAGCCGTTTGCGGAATGCAAGATGCAACAACTCATAATCAGTTCGCTAGTCCTTTCGTGGACATGAAAGTTTCCTCCAATATAATCTCAAGCACCTAAACAGTTAACACCTTTACTAATGTTCTTATATACAAGAGGAAACAAGTGTTCATGAGCCGAGTGATTATACATAGCAAGAGATACGACGGAGGCATTTGGGCTGAGAGCGCATACGTATAGATGCAGGCTTCTGCAGTATCCTGCAATCTGCTAGCTTTGTTTCCTGCAATGCTCGGCAGGAAAAAGCAGGAGTACATCAAATGCTAGCAGGCTCCTGCAGAATTACGCAAAACTGCATGCGGCTGATGCGGCGGCCTGCGGGTTGCTTGCATCCCTGCTTGGCTACCAATTTTCTACCATGGTTGCAGCCGTTGAATGTTCAGCTACACTAAAGGTGCGGCTGTGCAGCCTGCTGCTGCTACTGCTAACAGTGATTCACAGAGAGGAAAAAAGCGGCAGCCGCAGCCGCAGCAACTGCTTTCCTGCAGCCGAACACATGTGGTCGGCTACTGGAGCTTTCTTGCGGCAGCAGCCGAAACCTTGTTCAGTCCTGGTTGAAATAGCCCAATCTTTCCGGTAATTCTCTACTATCTACGTAGGTAAATCTGACGGCTAATCTGCTCGTTCTCACTGAACATCCAGTCCAGTCAGCAAAGAGAGTAGCCCACCGCCAGCCACCAAGAAGATGATGGAGGATTCCGGATGGCCGTAATCGTTGCTGCAAGAAGCAACAATAAATATGAAATGGATGAAAACGATAAAAATGGCCCACAAGCACAAGATTGTACTGTATGGAAAGGGCTGGTGGGCCAGTGCAGGGGCCCACATTGCTGGCGATAAGGAACATACTCCCTCCCTCCGGAAAAACATGTAATTCTAGCACAACGTCATATTTCAATATCTTATGATTAACTAATTATAGATAAAAAGTATCAATATTTATGATATTAAATAAATATTATTAGATTAATTATGAAATGTATTTTTATAATAAATTGATTTGGAGCCATAAATATAAATATTATTCATTAGATTCTTAGTTAAACATGAACTACTTTTTCTGATATGTAACTCATAATTGCATGTTTTCATGGATAAAGGAGTAGCTCACAAACATACATTACTTCCTCTTTTGAGGGAGACATTACTTGTCTTCTTGTCTTCACTAAAATACGTCGTCCAATTGGAAACAGATGGATGCGTCTCACAGTCGAGGTAGAGAAATATCTCGCATTGCAGGTTGTGGTGCACACGTGAGCCACAACACTCTCATAGCGTGTTTGGCAACAACTAGCTCGGGAAGAGGCATAAAAATTATTGATGAAAGTTGCTGAAGAGAGTTAAATAAAAATTTAACTTTTACTCTCAGTCTTTTATTTGATTCGTGGAGGGAACTTAAAAAGAAGTTAAAAAGTGAATTCATATACCCTATTTGATGTGCGGGTATTTAATTTTTGTTAAGGCATAATTCTCACTCATCCTCTACGGAATTGATCAGTGTGAGTTGAGTTGACCCTGTAAATTCATACTATTTGCATTCCCCTTTGCACAAAAACTCTCACACTCGTAAAACAAATAAAAGATTTCTAAACTCCCACCTCTAAATTCTCGCTCTCTCCATCGACAAAACATGCTGCTGCATGCAGGTTGCAGTGTGTTTATTTTGAATTCTTTTTTTTTCCTTTGAGTATAAAAAAAACAGGTTTTAAATCTCTGGCTATAACCTCCGCTATCTCCGGTTATAGCTGTTTGATAAAGATTTAGCTAAGATTTTTTCATGTACAAGTTAGCTCTTAGCTGCCGCTATAGTCAGCTATAGCCTATTTTGGGACATAGAAAGCTAGATGGCTTAGCCAGCTATTTAAAACCTTGAAAAAAACTGTTAAAGGAAGCCTTCCTACCGTTCTAATATCTTCTGTACGACTAACAAATGTCAATCAAAATAATAGAATCCCACAAACTCCTGCCTCTAGACTCGTATTACCCAGCAGGACGAAAAGGGTTCCACCTTCGAGCGATTCATTGCTCGGCACTTCCACCTCGCTCGAAGTAGGGGAAAAAATCACGGAAGCACCCGCATGGAAGGCAGGAAAAAAATCATGAAATCCCCATATCGACCCCACTACCCCACTAATTACACGGTATCAATGCATTATTAATATGACCCATCGCCGCAGTATGTGGACGAGAATCCTGATTCCTGAATGACAACCGGCAAAGCTACTTTCAAAAAATCAAAACAAAGTAGAAGCATTGCATAAATGGCAAAATCAGCCCATGGGCCCAGGCAGGGTCGACCAGCCCATCAGCTGGTGACCGTCTGGTCCGTCCAGTAATGTGGGGCTCAGTCAGTCCAGCAGCAGCGTTCTTGGCCGTCCTTGTACAGTTGTACTAGCACCTTGGGGCCTGTTTAGTTCACCCGCTGAATCGGCGCCGACAAAATTCGACATATACTGTAGCTACTGTAGCGTTTTGTTTTTATTTGGTAATAATTGTCCGATCGTTGACTAATTAGACTCAAAACGCCCAACATTTAACTTTAAAATACGTGTCTATAAATTTAATAAACCGAAACTAAACAAGGGCTTGGCTGATTTTCACCCTGCTACGCGCCCCCGACGCGCGGCCCCCACCAAACCGACTCCAAGTCACGGGCCCACAATCCGAATATCAACCCAGCCGCTTCTCACCCCGCACGTCGTCTCCCCGACTCGAATTGGGGATCTGACGCGCGAGCACAAAGCCGCGGACCCAACCCGACCAAAACCTAGCCAGAGTCTTCCGCCGCCGCCGACCCAGCCGGCGTCTCCACGCCCGCCGGCCGCGATGTACAACGGCATCGGGCTGCAGACCACGCGGGGGTCGGGCACCAACGGGTACGTCCAGACCAACAAGTTCTTCATCAAGCCCCGCTCCACCTCCGGCGGGGGGCCGCCGGGCGGGCCACACAGGCCGCCGCTCCCCGACGCCGCCGATGGCGGCGGCGGCGGGCTCGGCGGGATGCGCAAGCCCAACAGGGAGATCCTCGAGCACGACCGCAAGCGCCAGGTCGAGCTCAAGCTGCTCGTGCTCAGGGACGCGCTCGAGGAGCAGGGCTACACCGACGGCGAGATCGAGGAGCGCGTCGACGAGGCGCGCAAGGCCGCGGAGGCAGAGGCCGCCGCTGCCGCGGCGGCGGAGGAGGCAGGGAGCGGGCCCGGCGCCGGGCGACCACCTCTACCCGGCGGCAGAGGGTATGGATTTGCTGGCGTCTTGTTGGTTTTGGTCAGTTGACAATTTTCGTGTTAGGTTTCGGTGTCTCGTCATAGGTTTTGGTCAGCTGTCTATTTTCATGTTTTGGTTCAGAATTGCTGCAGCTAAGGCCACATGTCAATTATCTAGCATGACCTACATATAGTGGCTTCAATATTAGTTTTGGGAGACTTCTTCATATTTGAAGTGTGAAAGATAGTGCTTAAAGTGCGATCCCATATTCGAATTTCACGTTCTGTTTATATGTGCTTGCATTTGTCCATCGTTAGGACCGTATAATAATTAATCAGTCCCTAGCTTTGCACATATGGAAAGTCTGGCTTTCTAGACTTGTTTTACTTTCTGTCTATTATACGTTCACCACCATAGAATTGCATATTGATGGAGTGGATAGATGGTAAGATTCTTGCTGTTCTCCTTTCAAAAAAAAAAAGATTCTTGCTGTTCTTTCGTGTAGTTTGTTTTAGATAGATGGATGCCTACACTTGTTTTTTCATGAGTTTGTCCTCTTTCAGAAACAAAATTATTGCTTGCAGCTGGTTCTGTATGTGAATTGAATATTAATGAGTTTGTCCTGTGCATGGTGTGATACATCAGTTTCCAGCTTTGGATGTCGAGAGTTTGTTGCATGCCATGATTTCATCCATTCCTGTGCAGATGTGGGAAAGTTTGTCGTTTTATAACGGTTGATTTTCTGTCCATTAGACCTTTTTCTGTTGGATGGCATATTAATGCAGATGATAGACAATAGAAGCTGACCACGCTACTTTCATGTAACCTTTTCTTTTTAGTTGGATGCCTCCATTTAGTCTCTGAGATTGTATAGCCATTTGAAAATGAAATTATTGTTTTTGATTAACATTTAATCTCTTGAGTGTTTTTTTTTGGTATCTAAATTCTGATCATAAGTTGCCGTATTTTCTCAGGTTTACAGACACACAGAGCCACCATGTTGCGGCACGGAAGGAGAAACAACTTGAGACTCTAAGGGCTGCTTTAGGGCTGGATGTTGAGGATGCAAAGAAGAAGGGGGATGTAGAAAGTGATGTAGAATCCGGGGAGCTTGTTCCTGGCGAGTATTATGAGGAACTGGATACTGCTGGGCAAAAGGATAGCAAGGATTCAAAGGATGCTAAGAAGAGCAAGAAGAAAAAAGAGAATGACAAAAAGAGTCAACACAGAAGTTCAAGAAAGAGCGAGTACAACTCAGACTCGGATCACGATCATGACACTAAAACGAAGAAGGGTTCTCGCCATGATTCAGAAGATGATTCAGAGACTGATTATGATGAGAAGAAGGAAAAGAAATACAAGAAACCTCGTCTTGGTTCAGATGATGATTTTGAAAATGATCGGAAGAAAGCCAAGCGTGGAAAGAATTCTCGTCATGATTCTGAGTCTGATAGGGATAGTGGCTATGGCAAGAAGAAAACCAAACATGCAAAGAATGATCAAGGTGAAAGAAAGAAGATACCAGTGAAGAACTCTCGTCATGATTCCGAGTCTGATACAGATAGTGGCTATGGCAAGAAGAAAACAGAACATGCAAGGAATGATAGGGGTGAGAGAAAGAAGATACCAGTAAAGAATTCTCGTCATGATTCCGAATCTGATAAAGATAGTGGATATGGCAAGAAGAATGCGGAGCATGCAAAGAGTGAACGCGATGAGAGAAAGAAGGTACCAGTGAAGAGCTCTCGTCATGATTCCGACTCTGATACAGATAGTGGCTATGGCAAGAAGAAAACAGAACATGCAAGGAATGATAGGGGTGAGAGAAAGAAGATACCAGTAAAGAATTCTCGTCATGATTCCGAAGCGGATACAGATAGTGGGTATGGCAAGAAGAAAACGGAGCATGCAAAGAGTGAACGTGATGAGAGAAAGAAGGTACCAGTGAAGAGCTCTCGTCATGATTCTGACTCTGATACAGATGGTGGCTATGGCAAGAAGAAAATGGAACATGCAAAGAATGAACGTGATGAGAGAAAGAAGATACCGTTGAAGAGCTCTCATCATGATTCGGAGTCTGATACAGATAGTGGGTATGGCAAGAAGAAAACGGAGCATGCAAAGAGTGAACGCGATGAGAGAAAGAAGGTGCCAGTGAAGAGCTCTCGTCATGATTCCGACTCTGGTACAGATAGTGGCTATGGCAAGAAGAAAATGGGACATGCAAAGAATGAACATGATGAGAGAAAGAAGATACCGTTGAAGAGCTCTCATCATGATTCGGAGTCTGATACAGATAGTGGCTATGGCAAGAACCAAATGGAACATGCAAAGAATGAACGTGATGAGAGAAAGATGGTACCAGTGAAGAGCTCTCGTCATAATTCTGAGACTGATACAGATATTGACTTTAGGAAGAAGAAAATAGAACATGCGAAGGGCATTCGCGATGAGAGAAAGAAGATGCCAGTGGGAAGCTCTCGTCACGATTCTGACTCTGATACAGATGGTGCCTATAGGAAGAAAGTAGTGGAATATGCAAACATTCATAATGGGAAAAACAAGATACCAGTGCAAAGCTCTCGTCAGGATGAGAAGCCTAGAAAATACAAGGAAAGTTTTCGCCATGACTCAGATTCAGATGGTCTTTCCCGTGATAAGGAAAGACAACTGAATGCTGCAGCGTTAAAAAAGGACGTGCAAGAGAAAAGGAAACTAGCTAGCTCAAGTGAGAGTTCAGATTACAGCAGCAGCCTCAGCAGCAGTGATTCTGACATGAGTGCAGATAGCTATGAGGAACAAAAAAGGAGTCAAGCTGAAGGGAGAAGAAATGAGCTGACTACACAAAGGCAGAAAGAGGAGGAAAGAAAAGAGCTTGAGAAGCAACAGCAGAGCGAGGTAGAGAGGAAAGAGTTGGAGAAGCAAAAGCAAAGGGAGGAAGAGCGGATAGAGATGGAAAAGAAAAGGCAGCGAGAGAGGGAGGAAGAGAGACAAAGGGAGAGAGAGCAATATGGAAGGAAAGGTGGAAATGATGTGGAGAGAGACAACAAAAGGAAACTGATAGATGATCGGTATGATCCAAATTCAAGTAGAGTTAGAGAAGAGGGATACAAAGACTGTCAGAACAGAGATGACAATAGATGGCAGGAAGAGCATGGTCGACACAGTAGATATATGGATAGTCATGATTCCAAGAGGTCAAGGCGTGATGATGACTCGCATTACCATTCAAGGAGAGATTATGAACAGCGCTATTCTAGAGATGAACATAGAGACAGAAGGCGTCACTAAATGTAAGGTATATCAACCACCCCACTGTAACTCCCATTGACATACGTGGTGCCTGCATTGTTGTAGATAAGCTCATGTTTTTTGTTATATTATTTCCAAATCATACAACCAGTCTACATTGAGCTGTAGGCTGTAGGTTTTAGAAGCTGTGTGCATATCTGTGTATGTTATGAACTCCTAATATGTTTTGGATGCTACATGCCTACATTTTGGTACACCATCCTTTTGCTTGTATCAAATTGATTGCTTATTATGCAAATATTTACATTTATCTCACCATACTCTATGCCTTATGTGCAGCCATGTTGGTAATCCTTGTAAAGGAAGAGAGCAGCGCATCTTGAAGAATACCCATTCTAGGTGGACTTATTCTCAGTTCTCACCCATAAGTTTCAGTCCTAGATCTTTTCCGCGGCAGCATAAGCTTTGTTTTTGTTTGTATCAATACTTTTGTTTTATTACGCAAAGAGCAAAGTCTCCAATATGTAATGTGTTGTGGCACGGACATGAATGGCAGATTTTTTTTTTTGTTGGAAATTGTGGTATGCCTGTTGCCGATCATCATTATGAAAAGTTGTCTTTAGCTTACTTATATTTGATGAGCTCCAGGTTTTTCAAAATTTTGGTGCGCCTGTTGAGGGTTCATCTCATGTTTCATATATACTGCTCAAGCCTTTCAAGGTTTAGATAAGCCTTGATGTTTGCAGGCTACTTTAGATTAGAAAAACAGCACCAAGTTTAATACGTCCTACTAGATTGCAAGTGGGAACCAAGCATAAAAATGCTGAAAGGAGAAATTATCAAAAAAAAAAATGCTGAAAGGAGAATGTCTACGTTCCTTTGTAGTCTTGAACTCCTAAATAATAGTAATAAAAAGTTATTTTTGTCTTTGTGCACTGCTTGTGCACGATCGATTTTCTCAATCCCGACTGCATGGTGCACGATGTTACGGCTGAACATGAATGAACAGTAAGGACGTGGTGGACGTGAATGAACAGCATAGACGTGGTGTGCAAAAACACCTAGAGGCGTTTCCGGTGATTTAGCAATATATACTCCCCCCATTTCAAAATAAAAGACACTTTAGCTAGCTATGAATCTGCATTTCAAAATAACGACACTTCAGCTAGCTATGAATCTGCACGATCTAAATTCATATCGCCATCTATTTTAGGACGGAGGAAGACAAGGGAACACGGACGTCCGATCCCAGCAGCGCTTCCAGACGCAGCTCTCCATCTGTACGATACGATCCACAGGAGCTCGTCCAATACGAGTGACTTGCCCCAGCCTTCCCACAGCACGCGGCTCACCGTAGCACAGCACGTCTGTCCGCAAGCGCGGCGCGTGCCGGCCCCCAGCCCGCCCCGTCGGCAGCCCCCGGCGCGCCGCACGCCTCGTCCGCAGCCCCAGGGCGCCACGCGCCCCATCTCCCTGGCGCCCGGGCCGTGCCCCATGACTCTGAACGTATGTCTGAAATATGAAACACTTGCGACATGAAAACACTTGAACGTAACGTATTTTTGAAGAAGATAAAGATACACATGCAACATATGTCTGAAATATATGCAGCATTTAGATTAAACACTTGCAGCTTGCAACATGAAAACTCTTACTGCAACATAAGATTGAAACAATTAAAACATTTGAAATATACTGTTGCAGCATATGTGTGAAACATATGCAACATTCAGATCAGAACGCTTGCAACATACGTCTGGAACAGATAACATATTTTGAACAAACACTTCCAACGTACATCTGAAACACTTGCAACATATGCAACACGTGCAAACATCCCCGATCTACTTTTGCAACATCCATATGAAATAATTACAACATACCTCTAAAACGTTTGAAATACTTGAAACATGCATTTGCAACATAGGGGATGGGAGGCTAGAGTGGGAGTCGGTGGCAAGCGGTGGCGCGCGACCACCACCAACATCTAGCCGTGCTCATGTGTGCCCTAGGCTCGGCCGGGGACGACCCCAGGCGCCCGACACATGCACCCGGCGACCATCAGTTGGGGCGGCGGCGACGAGTCATCCCAGCGGCATTGGGGTTCGAGGAAGAGGCCGGGGAGGCACTATGCTGTCAGTGGACGCGAGATAGAGAGCGAGAGATGGGGAGAGCAGAGGCAGCGCCCGGGATGGGGCGCGGCGAGGGATGGCAGGCAGGCCGCGCGATGCGGGGGTCGAATCCTCACAGACCGGGCGTGCGACGGGCAGGGCGAGCGACAAGAGGGAGCAACTGTCGCGGGCAAACCGCACGTCGTAGGAGGGAGCGAGCAGCATGGGCAGAAGCGGCGAGACGAAGTGTGGCGCGCAGCGTCTGTCCGGACGGATGCCCACATGGGAGCATTATCGCAAAATTAAATATGTTTGTATATCCATGACACAAATATGCCAACAACGTATTTTTGTTTTCACTTATCTCCATGCAAACGAGCAACAAAAAAATCACCAAAACGAGCACATGGTGTCAAGGCAAGAACCCAGGAACTTGATCGTACCTCTTCATTCATCTTAAGGAAAGTTAAGTCAGAGAGAACGCATGGGGTGTACACCAGCAAGTCATGACTCATGACAGTTTTACATTGTAACGGTGTGGTGTTCTCACGGTATTATTGCCTATATTATACTTTGACAGCAGAAGGCCTACAACTCCAACCAAAGCTAAGCATCTGTGGCCTTTTCAAGCAAAAAAGTGGTCGCTGTTTATTGAGTATGCCGGTGTGTTTATATGCAGCAGCTATTCTACAGGGCAGAACCAGCACGGCGGCGCCTAGTTGCGTTTGAGGTGGCAATCTGGCCGAGTTCCTCACTCTGGCTTGGCAACACTCGTTCTCTGACTGGAGTATAATGCCTCAGCCAGACGCCGGTGTATACCTGGAGAAATAACAGAACATCGTCAGCCGAAGAAATGGTATGGTCGTATGGAAGTAGGCAAAAATCTGGTCTCGGGCCACTTGTACCACAAATTTTCTTACAACCAGCATGGCAGCATAGATGTTGAGCGGGAATATTCGCTCTAATAATTTTGAAATATATCACAAAAATAAAGTTAAATGGAGAAACAGTAACAGTACTAGATAATATGTTCCCTTTCTAGTTTCTACTGACCTGTTGGGGCCTCATAATCTTAGTGTCGGGATCATCGAGTGACTCTTTCCAATGTGCTAGCCAGCCAGCCATGCGAGGAATGGCAAACAGCACAGGGAAAAATTCTGTAGGGAATCCCATCGCCCTGGAAACCAATACAGTAACAATAAAACTACCATAATACCAAGGGGAGGGAAACAAAGGAAATCAGGTGTCGCTCCCAACCAAAGTACCTATAAATTAGCCCAGAGTAGAAGTCCACATTTGGATATAGCTTCCTCTTGATAAAATATTCATCTGACAGTGCTGCCTTTTCTAGAGCAATGGCCACCTGACATGGCATAAGGAAAAATAACATGTAAGACGACCCAGTTAGTTTTGCCAAGGCACTCTTGTAGTTGCACAGCCAGATTGCCTATTATCCCCATTTTACTGCAGAATTCTTGGAATTATCTTTTCCTTGAGCAGAAATTTTCATTTATGAGATGGAAAATAATTAAGTAGCAAAATGGCCAATTGTAACCACTTAAGAGTATACCAGCATTGCTTGTGGCCGGTATACTGTTGTGAATGGTTCTATCATTTTGAAACCATGATCATACAGCCATCTATTAGACACTAGGGAAACTAGGGGAGATAAAATGTTCAACAGTTTTCTATTTTAGAGCTTCAATGCAAAGTAATTTACAATATATCTTACTCATTCTATAAGTTCAATTTCCTATCTTAGAAAAAAAGCTTTATATTGCATCGTCTGCAAGATTACAGACGACAAAGTAACTGTTTACCACCCTATGTACAGTCAGAAACTCTTAACTGGTTACTACACATTGCCAGAAATCTCAAACCACAATACAACTAACTCTAAAAAAAGGTTAAATCCAGAAAACATTTACTGTCTACGATCAAAGCACATGGGAAAGCTAACCTCAATAAGTGGATCCCGTCCAACAATTGAGAACACCTCCTCTGCCAATTTCCTGATGACTTTAGCACGAGGGTCATAGTTCTTGTACACACGGTGCCCAAAACCTGACATCTTCCTCTTCCTAGAAAATGAACAGAATCCTGTAAGAACGCAAAAGCATATAAAAGGGCAACAACAAACTTAGTATCTCCACCTGAATATAGATCAGGTGGAAGCTATATGTTACCTGTTCTTTACTCCTTCAATGAAATCTGGAATATTTTCCACACTTCCAATCTCATTTAACATTTTAAGTACTGCCTGGCATACAGCATAACATTTTCTTAGTGAACAGCTTAAGCAAGAACTCCTTATAATCTCTAAAAGCAACAGCTAGTCAAATGTCACCCTATTGCTAGGATGTTGGGTCTTTTCATTTTGACAAAGGACGTAAGAAGATTACCGTGGTTGATTATACAAAAGGGGGGAGAGGTATAAATTAGCTCAAAAAGAATAATCCCTCTGTTTCAAATTAGTTGTCATTTTAGATTGTCCTAAGTTCGTTTCTATCTCTGGCCATCAATTCCTATAAATTCGTATAGTCTAACAAACACGCAAGTTATAAGTATTTCCCATGGTGAATCTAAAAACATAAATCTTATGATGTAAGCTATATGAATTTCTCGTTGATGGTCAAAGATAGAAAGGCTTGATTTTGGACAAAGCAAGAGTGACAACTAATATGAAACAGACTCCCTCTGTTTCATATTAGTTGTCACTCTCGTTTTGTCCAAAGTCAACCTAAACAGATGAAGTAAATTAAGTAATTTCTTAGCTTTTATGCTCACTATGACTTACCTCATTTGCACCACCATGCAGAGGACCATATAGAGCTCCAACACCACCAGAAAGGGCACTGAAGACATCCACACCACTACAGACATAATATAGCTCATTAGGAAATTGTTCCTTACTATTTGGAGGTCAAG